GATGACTCCCAGGTGTTTGAGAAAGTTAGCCTTCAGTAGTAAAACTGTCCAGGAGGTTTTAAAAAGATTTACATCTCAAAGGGACAGAAAATGAATTTGTAAGTTTTCTAAAGTAAATGCTCGAAGAAGCCCTCTAAAGTTTAGTAGTTCAGCTGAGGGAACTATTAGGGCCATTCTGGTCACGATTAAGACAGGTGATTCTTTCTCTTTTGTGGAAACCATGCTGAGAGTGTTAGCAACCCTCTGATGGGTTTTAACCATGATATATTGTGAGCTGGTCAAGTTTTCTATACAACAGCCTTAGCCAGTTCATCTACATTTTCTTAGAGAGAAGGCAGCTAAAACTTGTGCAGTTTCATCTGCTTTATTCACACCTCTGAAAAGAGGCTCACGTCTGTCTATTCCCACACTCCTTCACTATGTTAGAATTAGCTGGATTGTATGTATATGTATATGTATGTGTGTGTATATATGTGTACATATAACATATCTTTTAAAACCTTACAAATTTTCAGCTTCTTTTAACTGTATATACTGTAACTATACCTTTTAACTATATATACATATATCTTTTAAAATCTTTCAAATTTTATACATATGCATATATACTTTTTAATAATTTTTGGGGTGACATTGGTTAATAGGAGCATATAGGTTAACTATTTCTATCCACAAAGGAATTCTTTTTCATGGACTACATTAGTTCCAAATCAGAGTTGTGTTTTATATGAAATACATCGATGAGCAAAACAAGAGAAATCTTAAGAATCTTTCTAAAAGTTTCATTGTGGGTGACCTTTAAATACTATACCATGCATTGCATTTAAAATGTAACTTTTTAAATTTTTATTTACTAACTTGATTGGGTGACATTGGTCAACATGAACCTATAGGTTTCCGGTGTGGGTTACTGTGCTACAAGATTGTATATTGCACTGTGTATCTTGACATCACCAATTCTGTAACATGTCTGTGTCAAAAACCACAGTGTCTCTGAGGAACCAGTGACTCTCTCTTCCCTTCCAGGACCACGCAGCAGAAGTCGAAAGCAAAAGGGGGGAACTGCAAAGTCTGCAGGGGCACCTCGCGAAGCTGGGCGCTCTGGGTCGAGCCGAGGACCTTCACGTCCTGCAGGGCAAAGCAGAGGACTGCTTCCAGCTGTTCGAGGAGGCCGGCCAGGTGGTGGAGAGGCGGCAGCTGGCCCTGGCCCAGTTGGCTGGGTTCCTGCAGAGCCACACCTCTCTGTCAGAGGCGCTCCACCGGCTGAGGCAGACGGTGGAAGCAACCAACAGTATGAATAAGAAACAGACTGACTTATTAGAAAAGGACCTACATGATGCTATTCAAGACGTGAAGACGTTAGAATCTACTGCCATCGGTCTGGACGGCGTTCTCACCAAAGCCCAATACCATCTTAAATGTGGAAGCTCTGGGCAAAGGACTTCCTGCAGAACCTCAGCTGATCACCTCTGCTTGGAGTTAGAGAGGATCCAGAACCTTCTGGGAACCAAGCAGAGTGAGGCAGACGCCCTGGCATCATTGAAGAAAGCATTCCAAGACCAGAGAGAGGAGTTGCTGAAAAGCATCGAGGACATCGAAGAGAGGGCTGACAAAGAGCGTCTGAAAGAACCCACCCGCCAAGCGCTCCAACAGAGGTGGGAGGAGACTGCCGAAGCCGTGGCCTCAGCTACTTTTTATCTGTCCTAGGATTAACTCTTGTGCAAAACTTTGATAGTACCAGACTTAGCAACGTCTCTTTTTATATTTTTAGGATAAAATTAATGACTAATTTGACACTTAAGGTCTTAAAATTTATTTGGGGAGGATTTTCCTAAGGGACTTGTGTAAGCCACTCTGAGATCTTATTTACAACAGAGTATGTAGATCAATCTGTGTATTTTAACTGATAGGAGAAGACACTCATGCTCTGTAACAAGAAGGAAAGCAGAGGAGGAAGGGAGGGATGCAAGTAGACTTGTAGTTCTGGTGGTAAATCTGAAGGCATTCCTCCCTGGTGGCTGCTAGTCCTCAGAAAAGACTGGAGCAAACTCGTTCATTGAGATTGAGTGACAGGAGATGTGGGCAGAAAATGGTGTGAAATAGTCTTCTCATAGGAGGAAATGAGATTATACCTGTGGAGCTTAGTAAGATGATAAGCTGCCATTTAAGATTTGTATTTATTCACTTAAAGTGAAGCCAATCAGCTTGGCAGAATGGTTTTCCCAACCACTATTTTTTAAAAAATATATTTTTATTGATTTCAGAGAGAAAGGGAGGGAGAGAGAGAGAGAGAGAAATGATGAGAGAGAATCATTGATTGGCTGCCTCCTGCATGCCCCACACTAGGGATCTAGCCCACAACCGGGCAGGTGCCCTGACAGGGAATCAAAACCATGACTTCCTGATTCATAGCTCAATGCTCAACCACTGAGCCATGCTGGCCAGGCTCTCCCTATTACTATTACCTGTTTGCTTAGAGGTGTGAAGAACGTAATAGAAGTGGGTTCAAAGCAAAGATGGGGGA